ATTTCTGTGAATATGGAGCTGAAACAGCAGCACCTTTAATTCTCCAGGAGCTTCATAGCACCTGAATTCATATCRGAAAATTCGTCTGTTTCCTAACTTCTGGGAGAAGTGGCTGTAGGAAGTCTGTAGCACTGCGAGAGCAGAAAGTAAGTATGAAGTATAAATCCTGAAGACAAAAGCAGGGTCTTCAGCCACTATGTCCAACCATAGCCCCGTTCTCGAGCCCCAGGGCCTGCCAATATTGCAGGGAGATAACCCTGGACTACGAGAACTCTTTCTTCCCAACCTTCTCTGGGGCCATACTTCACTCTGAGTATGGGTGTAGACTTGCCAAGACAGTAACTATCTCTGTTAAAAATACAGCAAAAATAGTTTGGAAAGGGGCTATCAGTGAGCATCTTAATCAGAAGGAAGTCCTGTTTGGATGTATCCTACACCACTCTTTGGTTGTAGGTACCCCCATGAATAAGTAAGCTCTTTATCCAAGTGTTTTTCCCATGAGCATGGTTAGTGGCTCACAAGACAGGGAGCAATTGAGTTAGTGATCACTGAACCATGCAGACCACAATGGCAACACACACACACACACACACACACACACAAAAAACATTTTAAAAACTTCACTGTGTCTGAAATTTCCTGCTCCCTCCCAGCAACCTTCCTCCTGGGGACCAACACTGAAAGCAGCTCTTTCCGCAGGGTGTGTGTGAGCATCCTGCCATGGACTGGAGGCTGTTGGGATCACAACCTGACTGCCACTGAAGTAAGAGACATGACAGAAGGATGTCAGGGAACAGTGATGGGAGCAGTCTATCAGAGATACACCAACAAGCTGTCTATTCAAATCATGTCCCTCCCAGGCAGCCTGCAGGAAGTGAGGAAGAGGAGGTGTGTGACAGCTGAAGAAGGGACTCTCAGGGTGTTCCCTAGACTCACTAGGACAACTTGACAAAGAGACTTTATGTATTTGGCGATTGGTGACTGCCTGCTATGGCAAACCTCTCCTGAAGGAGAAAGATGAKAAAAAAGTAACTCCTCATTCGATATATCTGTGCCCGCCCCAGGTACCCTGGCTTTACATGTTTGGTGGAAAGTAAATTTCTTCCCTTTCTTTCACACTGATTTTTATGTTTAGGTTGGCAGGACCATAGAGCAAAGTGAATGCTCACTCCAGAAGGGGCTGGAGAAAGGAAAATCAATGACCAAATAACTCCAGAAGAATGGGAATTGCCTCTGGGGAGCTCCCCTTTACCCTGCTCTCTCATCAGCTGAGAGATATTCAACATCACTACGCTCTGTTAGTCGCTGAATATTTTATGCCATGGCTACAAATGCTCCATTTGTATTCTGTTTCTCTCTTTCGTCATATCTATTATAAACGAGCAGTGTCTGGGAACTCTCCTAGGGAAGATTTGCCTGGATGGCTATGGATATTTTATAGTCAAATTGTGAGAATAAACCAGCTTTCAAGTTCTGTAGAGAGAGGAAGAAAGGTAATAAAGGGTTATTAAAAAAATAAATAAATGTCAGGTTTTTATAGGGCTTCTTTTCATAGTGACAGAGAGTCAGATGGCTCCATGATRGAGATAGAGCTGCTCGGAAAGGCTTGGGCTAAGAGATATGCTCTCGCTGGCTCTGTCTGCCAATGGGACCTATCTGATATAGATTTACTATATTCTGGCAAGGCTGACTTGGTTGGCATCTGGCTTGGTCACACTAGGTGGACACGAGGCGAGCCAGGAACTAGGACTGGGTTTGCAAGCAGCATGGACATATGCCTGTGTGGGAACCAAGGCAAACATGGCCAGGGCTTTAGCCATCTTTGCTCATATCATCACATATGTGATATAGCATGGAGGCTTGCATGTAATGGGGACTCTCTCTCCGTCTGGGGTCTCTTCCAAATGGGTGCTAAACGGGTGGAAATGAGCCGAGAAACTTGCTTTGCCCTCAGCCAAGTTACCAGTTCTTTTGGGAACTCTGAGAGGACTTCAGACACCAAGGACATCAAGCTAGGCAGCATGCAAGCAGGCTGAAGCTTTCTGGCTGAATTCCACAGCTTTCACACAAGCAAAATGAGTCAAAGAATAAGGAATATGCACAAGAAATGCAGAATGATCCATTAGATGTGTTGTTGGAAAGGAGCGTGTGCCGAATACAGATTGGTTTGTGGAGATGTAGGGATGAAGAGAGCTGCCAAAGATAGAAATCCTCCATGATTAATAAGTAGCATAGTGGGAATTATGAAAAACGGATAATTTTAGGGTTACCAAATCATAGTATCTTTTCCTTGAAAGGTCTCAGCTTCACTCTGGTGTTCTAATATATCAAAGAGAAGCCTGAACAATTAGAGATCATGACTGGCCCAGTAAGAAACTCCAGAGAAGATAGCAAATACAAGGGACTGAATTGCAATTTGTGTGGTTATATTATGGGCTCATGGACTAAGCCACATTTTCAACAGGCCAAACTTTTTCTCATTTGTTTCTCTCATACTCTGATTCTGTCTCATCAGTCTAATTTTAAAATAATTTATTTGCTCTCAGCTGAGCAACATCCACCCTGGGAAATCATCACACAACATAACATTAAACCATCTATACACTTCACACAAATTTAACAGCCCCTTTGTGCAAAAAGAGGGGAAACAGAGAACAGGCAGGGGACCACAAATCAACAGGGAGAAACCAACAGATATGAAAGGTGCTTGAAGCTACTGAATGGAAAATGGTACTTAGTGGCTTTCCTAGGTCTTGAAGTCACTGTATCTTTTGCACTTAGCAATTTGTAGGTGGAACAAACGAATAAGAACTAAAATGCTAGGAGCCAAATATCAGTACTCAATTTATTCCTGAGAGCCAAATCTCTAAACAAACCATCACATGAGAGCTATCAAACAAAACTCTCTTCCCAAATTGAGCAAAAGCTGAGAGGACTTTTTTTTTTTTTTACTTTCTTAGTGAAATGTGCTATATCTAAAGGAAACAGAACAAGTGGAGGCCTCCTACACTTCATCTTTCCTTATCAGTCTATTGCATTCCTTCCCTCCATTGGTCTGTGCCACTCTTCCTTGCAAAGAAAGAATGAAATCTCTTGTAGAGATGTCAGGAGAAGACATGTAGAAATTAGGCAGCAGAGCTCACTGACTACACTGGAAAACTGTAGAGAACAAGGGAATGTGCCAGGCAGCATCCCAGGCCGGACTCCGTCAGCTAAGCACGTCCAAGAGGTCCAGACGGATATGCTCCTTTCCCAGCTCAGCCTGGCCTGTACCCTACATGCAGCCCTGTTCAGTTGCTAACCACCAGCGATTTATCTAATCCTGGTAGGYGCCACCATCCTGATTTCTTCTGCCACTTAGACTCAACATAACATTCCTCAAGGCTGCATCCCAAAGGGGCGGTAAGGCTAATACACTAGCCAATGGGCCTCTGAAATGAAAGAATGACTGTAAGTCAATCATCTTATCCTATAAATATGTGGACAGCCCGAGAGCCCTTTGAACTCTCCTGACACAGCTGCGGCCTGCACAGCAGGATCTCCCCTTGAGCAGGGACGCATCTCAAGGTTACTCCTTGAGGTTGAGAGACCCCCCTTCCCACAACAGATTTGTGGTAAGTGAACATAGCGCGCTCTCTTTAACTTCACTTTGTAACTGTGCACAAGAACCCTTAGTCATAAACCGTTGACCAGGTCTGGGGCTAGGATTGGATCCAGCCGCACCCAGACTCCTCTCAGAAGGAGCCTGGAAAGCAAGGGGGTCCAATCTGAACCTCGTGACCCAACGGGAGGGTATCCCAAGATAATTGTGTATTATCTTGAGCCTCCATGCAGTGAATAATAAGTGACCTTGCCATAGAATCTCGGGAAATCATTGTCCATATTAATAAATCCTGTTATTATTTCTTTCATACGAGTGAAGTGCATTTGTCACTCACCCCTGCCACCACTCGTTCCGTGACACCAGGCCTGGTGTCAACTGGGACTGATAAGGATCTTCCTAAACAACCTGCAACTGCCATCATGAAGACAGTACAGAGCAGCTCACATGCAGAGGAAATGCAGGAGTGCAGAAACACCACCGACCTAACTGGACTCCAAATGCAGAAGGCAAATGTGAGTCCTCAGTGCAAAGAGAGAGATGGAGACCTGCTCAGGGAACCAAAGTCCAACCCTTTCCTCCCTGCAAGCCCACATGCTTTCAGTCTGGCCCTCACTAAGRCAGGAAGATCATAGATTTTGGAGCTTAACCTCTCAGCTTAGCCACATGTGCACAAGGTTGTGATGACTAGCATCCAGAGCCTGATCCGTCCCAATGACATTAACCATGCCAAGACAGAGAGATGTTAATTAACCCTCTTTATTGAAGGGCAGACACATTTCTGCCTGGGCCCTGATTTTCCAGTCAGGCTGCAGTCCAGCAGGTGATTAATAACCCAGCGTGCTTTGGGAACAGTGCATCCATTATTCAAATTAATGAAATTATAATCAAGAGGTGACGAATTAGCAACTGCTCCTTGACTGGCTATGGAAACTCATTAGTGCCAGGCACTTCTGCAGTGCTCACAGCACGYGTAGGCTCGCTACTAGAGCGGAGTCAGGCAGAGCAGACAGCCCCCTCAGCCCAGTTCTGCCCTGGCCCGTGTTCCCTGCCCACCACAAAATGGTTGCAGTCACCACGGCATGCTCTGGTCCCACAAACCCTCTGCTCCCCATCCTTTCTGATGGACATTCCTTTCAGCTTATGCTCTGCTATGGAGATGAAGGTGGCTATAGGTAGGAGTCAGGGAAATATGGGTATATATATGCACAGTGCTCCTCTTGTAGAGGGCAGGAAGGCTTATGCTAGAGGAAGCCCAATGCAGAGGGGAAGGGGCTGGTGACTAATTGCAAGACACAGACCTGAGAACAGGCTATTACTGCACCCAGTCCTGCTGGCATGGAGTGCAAGGGGACGAGAGTTTGAAGATAGCACTGCCCCTTCCCCAGCAGGTACTCACCAATGTGCTTCCCATACATGTGGTAGTAGAAGGAGACACAGTAGTACTTCGCAGTAATGTTGTAAAGGGGGCTGATCAGGCGGGCTTTGTCTCCTGTCACCCGGGGCCGAGATGCCTCGATGAACATATAATAACCTACAGAATGACAGGGAGAGGTGGAGACAGGCAGTACACATGCAGTCCCCTTCCTTGATATTGATGGAATGGCAGTTGTAGGGAAACAACACCTCCTCTGAGAGATATGGCCTTGTTCTTCTCATCAGCTCTACACAGGAGCATGATCCCAGCCAGTAATACTCACAGATTCTCCTTAGGTGCCTCACCTGCCTCTGAAGCATTTAGGAGAGAGCAGGATAAACGGCTGTCAGCACATGCAGCGTAAGCACATGCAGCAGGTCAGTCCCTAAACATGAGTGCACACATCTGCCTGGGTGCAAAATGAGCCTTTCTCCTGCACCACAAGAAGCCCCAGAGCTCATTGTTCTGTGCAAGAGGGGAGCCCAAATGTGAAAGGAACTCAAAAGAGGACAGTGAAACCAATCTTGTTTCTAACTCATCTCCCTCAATCAGAGGGAGAGAGGGTCCAGTATATCTGACCTAAACAATACTGTTTTCTACAGAAAAAAAAACGAAGTAGTTGTTAACAGCACAGGGAGGAACAGATTAGCTATTTAATTTGTCCACACTGTTTTGCTTGACCAGACTGGTGCACTGAACTCTATTAAGAAAAGTGATTTCCTTAGCTGGCCATTGGATATTTCCCATTTGTTCAGGGTCCAGAGATTTGTGCCTGCATGCAAATTGAATAAAGGGGAAAGTAACACCCAGAAAGACTGAAACATGTGCTCCATGAACAGTCACTGTGAGGAACGGGCAGTGTCAGCCTCGGGGAAGCCAGGAGCCAAGTCCCTTCTAGCCACGGGTGGGTCATTCTCACTGTCACCCCAAGTGGCAGTGCCTGCTCTTTCATGCTGCACCTTGGTACTGAGATCTGATTGTTTACTGAGACCTTCTTGGAGCAAACAGCTGCACAAACCTGCAGGGCCATTTCTAGGTGCTAAAGATGTTTTCCTAATTGTTTATCCTTTTGTGACTCAAAACAAGCATCAAATGGCATAAGGGCTTTAGGCAGCAGACAATTAGCTGGTAACTAATGCWCCTACTATTCCATTGAACAAAGTTGTGGGTGTTTTAATTGCGTGGGTGTTTTAATGCCAGCCAGTAGCATGCACATTAACTGCCTGCCCCTGCRCTCTTTGCAGAGGAAAAGCAAGACTACAGATCAGCACTTCCCAGCTCCAGAACCACAGGACTCCTGCCAAATCTCTGGCAACACAAGCTGTGGCTTGTGTCTTGCCTCTACAAGGACATGCCAACCCCAGTTGAGCCAAAAGAAACCCAGAAGTCTGCCTACCCTCTGGCGTACCGCTGATATCTGTGGGGGGGCCTGTGTTCACAGTTCGCTTGGGGTTCTGGGTCAGGGCATTCTGGCGGGTCCAGTCAAAATTATCCATCTTGTCTTGCATGAAGCCACATATCTTCTCGTCCTCAAAGCGGCAGGTGTTATCTGCAGGGCAGGAAAAGGGGCTGGTTAACTGCTGCTCTTTGGACCTGCTCCTCAAGATGACCTTGTTTCTTGGGAATGGCATGGAAGAGGGACAGGACTGAGACCACACACAGCACTGCTACATGACCACTGCGGCTGTGTGTCAAACCAGGGCAGTCTCTGACTCAGGAAGATACTGAAAGGGAATATAGCCATCTAGCATGATTATGGAAGGGCTGATAGGGTAGATGGATGCGATGGTTTGCTACTGGGACCAAGCAGAAAGATTGATTCTACTGAAACATCTAAGAAAGCAGGTGTCTAAGGGAACATTTACCCGGGGAGGGTAAAATGAGCAAGGGCAGCATTCTGCCAAAGCAGTGAGAAAGGCAGCAATCTCACCTGGTGGGCAGACAAAGGCCTTCACTGACATCGGTTGTGCCCCATGCAGTAAGGGGCTGTCCATGCATCCCGCACACTTGTTCTGCTCTAAGATCAGTGGGAAACAGTGGCTTCTGCCAGCAGAGCACAGCCAGAAGGAGCTCTGCAGGGCTGGCCACTTAGCTGCTGATTAATCCTGGCAAAGTGTTTCCCATTCAACCCGCTCATTTCTAATTAGCATCCTAATCCAAATTATCCACTTCTCTGTAGTTTGGAGCGCAGGGGGATACTGCATCTGGAGCTGAAAGAGGAGGGGGAAGCAGAGAATGGACAGGGCAGGATCTGAGGCAGAAGAGCCACAAGGACTCGGAGCTCCTTTCCTCCCCAGCACAAGGAGACAGAAAGAGAAAGAATGCCACTTCCAAGGGTCCCTTCCTGGTCCTCATGACTGAGAGGAAGGAATGCATGACTGGTACCCGACAACCACTGGTGCTCAGAGGAGAGGATGGAAGCCAGAAGCTTCTGATCTGACACTGTAGGCTTGTCACTGCTGGACCAAAGACAAACATGTGCCAGGCTCCAAGTCACAGGATGTTGCTTGCAGTTAGGAGAGTGTTCCCTCTGCTATGACACATTTGTAAGAAGTCCCTCATGTCCACAGGATGAGGCTGTCTAGCAAACMGGACTGGAGAGCTCAGAAGACTATAAGAGGCTGCTTGCACTGCTATACTCAAGACATGGGGTGTTATGTATGTGAAATACAGATCTACAGATCCTTAAATGTCAAAACAGCCTTAACAACATCCTTCCCTCTCATGCAGGGGCAGTCACTTCTAGAAAGCTGTGCTTCCAGTCCAGAGCATAAAATGGGAGATGAAGCCAACTTCTTCACTTCTTGACCACACCATCAGGCTTTGCATGCAACACCATTCACTGTGCAGGCATTTATTACTACAGTGTGTTGCTCCTCAGTTTGGGATCACAATGCACTTTGTGACAACTAATGAGCAAGTCTTTTTGGCCTCTCTTTGAGGTAGCCCTGCCTCTCTGTCTTTATGTCTGCATAACATAGAGGGAAAGAGATGCATGGAAGTATGGAGAGGCATGTTAAAGGTCACAGTAGCCAGGGTGAAAGCCGATACAAAAACAAAACCCAGGTGTTCTGACTTCTGGTCCTTTGGTTTAAAATAAACTACAGGAAGGAGGAAGCTCTCACTTTTCTCCAAACTGGAAGTGGAGGCAGACCAGAATAACTCAGCTACATTCAGTACGGTTGGACACACAGGCACATCATCACCTCTGGATGGTTATAAGCAAGGCTCACTGGGACAAACCTGGCAGATTCAACTGGAAATAAAACTTTTTAATGACCTGCTGTGTCTCAGAGGCCACAATGGCAATCTAACTGTTGACCTCTGCTGCATGAAGCAAACCCTCTTTCAGACTCTCACCATCTGCCAGGGATCCTGGCTCAGCACGGTGGAGCAAAGGAACTTTCCTGTTTAAAAATTAAATAACAGGTTTAAATATTGAACACAGAAGTTGTTCTCTAGATTGTTAGAGGCGAGGTGGAAGTGACAGGGGAGTTAGTTCCTCAAAGGCTGGAGTTAGTTTGCCTTCACCAAACAGATTTCCTTGGCAGGCTTTGCAGTGGCGGCAGCTCGAAGTGCAGAGCTGTTTGCTCCTGGCTACAGATACCTCCCTGCATTCCCATGGGATAGACCCTCTGCCATGGCTATTAGCATTTCTTGTTGCTTCACCTTTCCGGGAAACATAATGGAGGTTTTTCATTTCATATCCTTAGGGGGAAGGCATCCCTGGCCCTGAAATTCTGTCTGCCAGATGAATGCATGCAAAAAAAATAAAAACCAATTCTAGTTGCAGACTATCGGTGAATAGCAGATGAAAGATTGAATAAAACTGCCTTCATCATTTAGTTGTGGTCTGACGGCTGAAACACTAGCTAAGAGCACTAGGGACCATGCTCCAAGCCTGACAGCATTTCCCATGGTATGTTTCTGAAAATTAATGACCAGTAAGGGAAGAAATATAACAATACCATATTTGCTGGGGTCATATAATCCCCATATTGTAAAGGGGAAAATAAAGCAGATACCTTAATTTCCCTWTCTATAATATGGGGACTATATGATATAGTCAACAAGATTTGCTATCATGATACAAAGAATTGATGTCAGTTACCTGTTCTAACCTCAGCTTTACACACACTTGCAAAGAATGGGCAGCTTTGAGGAATTCAGGTCTAAATTCTAGGTTCACATCTCTTTCCCTTTCTCTTGGGGCAACAAGTTCAGATTCTGTTGTACTAGGAGGTATTATCAGAGACAGGACACATAAGCACCACACAGTGAGCCATGAGATTAACCCGTAACAACACATCTGGTACCAATCACCTCCCACTCCACTTGTCCATGATCCCAAAATGTTTAGCACTACACACAGCAAGATTGGAGAAAAAAAAGAGAAAAAAATATTCCTGCTCTGGAAGGGCATGACATGCTAGCCAGAAAAACAACAGCAATTATATATGGTTTTTGTGCCCTCATCACCAGAACCAGGGAAACCAAATCACTCTCTGCCAGGGAGGTGGAATACAGTGTGGGACAATACTGCAGGTTTGGGTTAGAAGTGAAGGTTATATCCAAAGGAAGCTGCAGGGGAGATGCAAGAAGGGCAGAATACATTTCCTGGCACTGGAATTTATTTATGGCACCAAAATGATCATAGTTATTCTAAGAGAACTTTTAAGATAAGTTGCTTTCCTAAAACCAGACTGTTTTTTAGGATTTACTGACAGCCTTACTGCTCATTTGTAAGTGTTTGAATTTTTCAGTGTCTTTTGCTCCCTCCCTCTGCTTTTAGTTTGCTTTTGCCTTTTAAGCTCAGCACCTGGCTCTGTAACCGTGCCACATGCATGCCTGCCCCACTGTCATTAACATCTTATTAGTCTAGGAGAGAAAATGCATGAAGAAATAATTGTATTAAGTGACTCTCAGAGTTTGTAAATTAATCACCATTGTGACTGCCCTTGGATCTGGTTGCCAGAGGCATTAATCATCTAATCTTCGCCTTTCACTCAAGAGCCCTCAATGCCTGCTCCCAGAACTTGGATGGGCAGCCTAGCGTGAGGATGCCTTTGTAATTCTGTCCCAACACTCTCCCCTGAGAATGGAGGAAAGGCAGGAAGCCAGGGAATAAGAGACAAGAGCAGGGATTTCCATGCTGCCGGGTTGAAAGGCTGGGAACTGAGCTGCGGCCAAGAGACAGGGTTGAGAGTCTTAGGCCTCATATTCCACTGTTCAGTGGGTCTGAAAGGAAGTGGCATCCCGCTAAAGCAGATGTGGTGGCTGCAACTCCAAGGAAATCAATCAGACAATGTAAAGTCATGAACTCAGACTGGATGACTCGTGTCAAAAAGTCCTAAGCATTGGGGTTACTGTATATAAATGCAAGAGTGGCTGAATTCTCCCCTATCTTAGGCAAAATTGGTCTAGTCATTTTGGTCTCAAGCTCTCAGAGCAACCCTGGTTATCAGTCTGAAAGGCTCTGTTTACAAAGACCCTAAAGAGATCATTACAGTTAGGATCCAATCACCCTGTCATTACCACTTACTACCATTTTTTTTTGGTGGTGTAAAGTAGGTGGCAAAAGGCCAAATTATAWAGCTCGGTCCCATGAACCGTGATGCTCCCCTTCTCCAAGTACCAAGGGACAGATCTTGAAATCGGCCCCCAGCAACATATTCAGTGATTCCCAGCAAGTCTTCCACAGAGAATGTTTAGAGAGGACTGGGAGATGGGAAAAAATGAGGAAAGGGGAATAGAGAATTAGAGCCTCAAAGACCCTCCAACTCTATAAGAGGCTCTTGTTCTCAGACAGCATTTGGGACATCGAACTCTCCTCTAAGTGTACAACTGAAAGAGCCAGCCTCCTCTCTGTGGTCTACTAGCAAGGTGTCTGCCCATCTCTGCCCAAGAGCTTTGTCTGGGCTCATATCCAACAACCAAAGCAAAGGAACTTTGTTTCATCTCCTGGAGATCATTCCACCACTACTTACAAGACACTAGCAAACCATCACGTTTTTGCTAAAGACCTTTCTGAGATGTTGTGTTCTCTGCTCTAACTAAATGGAAACTCTAGGTCCTCAGAAAAGATGACCTTGCATCAGAATATCAGCCTGCTTTGGCAGGAATTACTTGAAGATAACTAATATGGAAGGTTACTAATAGGCATTAGAGGAAAAAAGAAAAAAAAGATATTGTTGCTTACCTGTTGGGTTGGGGTAGTTGATTGCTGGAAAAGGGAACAGAAAAACAAGTCAGAAGAGATACTACACCTTCAAATCACAAAGTCTGAAAATAAAGTGAACACATCAATAAAGGTGACAGATGCACCAATTTCCTGGCAGTATCCCTATGAAAGAGCTATGCATAAAGCCTCAATGTCTGTCTTGGTGATAGAACAGTATGTCAACTGATCAAAAGGAAACACATCTTAAGAAGAAAACCCCATGCAAGGGATGATGCCTGAACTGCACTGGGATGCACTCCTGGCATCCTAAGCAGGATCTTTCTGAAGAATCCATTGAAAATTACTGCCTGGTATCTATAAAGGAAATAAAAGCAATTTGAGACACTGTGGATGCCTGGGGGAACAACTATCTCTGGGGACATAGTGCATCACATAACAGGACAGAAGGATTGTATAAAATCATGCAAACATATTGGGAGAGGTCTGTCTGCTAAATGTCTCAGTGGAGCAAGGAAACAATAAGGTTGTGGGAACAGGGAGAGTGAAGAGCTGCTGGAACACTAGGAAAGGAAGCACATTCAGTGTATTTTAAATGGGACAATCTGGGATCCAGGGTATTAGACAGAGCTACAGGTATCTAAGTAATGAGGAAAGGAACTGTGCATTCATCTCTGGAAAGAGTTGAAACTCTCTGAAATCCTTTTGTGGACATGTGGCTTGTATTTAGTGCTCACTAGCTGTACCTTAACAGCCAAGGTAGCATAGGAGATATCAGCATCACCTGACTGGGCATTTGGGGGTTTCAGCAGACAATCTGAGCCAGAGCTGCTGAGTGAAGCATGAGCTGGAGACTGATCTTCAGAAGTCTGATCCTCAGAAGTCAGTGTCTAGGGCTCTGCATTGATGGCCAAAATTTGGCCGGAGGTGAGAGTACCACACCATAAAACCAATGGAGGAGAGAGGGATCCACCCAATGGTCACAGGAGACAACCTCTACACACACGCGTGTGCCTAGGCCTGACCCATGGCAGGAGGCTGGGGTCTGCTCTCGTAGCCAGGACCGAGGAGGAGACACCTACGTTCCATGTACCGGATGATGCGGGCAGCCATATCTCCAGCCCCAAAGCTGGTAATGGGTGTCAAGCGAACTTCATAGCTTTGAGGAACCTTCAGGTTGGGTAAGATGTGCTCCAGCAATAGGCCCTTCTCCATTTTCTGCACAGGAATAAAGGTTTGGACGGTGCTCCTCTGAGCCAGCTGCAAGGACAAAGAACCCACAGTGTTAAGGGAATCCTCCGACTGGTAACCTGAGAGGTCCTACCTACTATATAACATCTTGTTTCTCCCTTATCCTGATTTCGGACTGCTGCTACTTCTTCCTCTGTCTGCCTCCAGCCCTAACATATGTGACCTCAAGTTCAATTTGAGAAGCAGTGGCTGCCATTGGGGAGTTTCCTGTTCACTTCCAACATGTCCAGAACTCATCTGTTCCCTTGAGTTCATCTCCACAGGTTAGCTGGTGTTCTCTAGGCAGGAGTCAGGACAGGACAAGATCTTGCTGTGTTACTATGTGTGGGACAGGCACTGGTCTCTGGGTACTCTTGTCTCCAGAGGGTTCTCACAGTGAAGAAGAAATCTGAATCTGCCTTAAACAGATCAGGGCTCAGGCTGCTTGAGGAACTGCTTTTTGTACCTTCCTCCTTCCCAARCAAAAGGAGACAGAGGGCTGGGAACAGCTCCTGTACCTCACTTCATCTCTGTGAATTCCCACAAGGTACATGGGAGGAATCCCATAGAGGAGGAGCACAACAGTATCTCCAGGAATCAAGCAGGAACTTGGCACCAGGTTGTTGTCAGAATCCATTCATAGCAACAATACCCCATCTGCACATACACAAGCTGGGTGCTGATCCAGCTGGCACCCCCCACCCCTCAGTCCTTCCATCTGTCATCTTGTTGTGTGGATGATCTGCCAAGCGAGAGCAGACTGGGCTACCAATGGCGGCAACTTCACTTGTGCTCATGAGCACCAGACCAGCGACAACCTGGGAGAAGAGGACAGGGTCATAGGCCAGGAACAGGAGACTGGAGTGGTAGGATACCCAGCACAGGGCACTTTGGGAAGTGGAGCCTGACTAGGGAGTCGGCAAAAGCTTCTCCTTACAGGCTGCCTCCGTGCCTGGGCACTGGGAAGAGAGCCAGCAAACAGGAGGTCAGGATCCATTTTCCTCATCTAGCCATAACCTTTAGAAGAAAAACAAAACAGGAAATCAGACAGAAGCCAGAGGGTAAGATTCAGACAGTGTAAATTCCACTTCAACTACGAGTTATGTGGAATTTAGGTGTCTAGAGCCTCTGGGAGCAATGCAAAATCTCTTATTCTCCCATATCATCTAACCAAACACCTTGCATTCTAGAGTACAAAGCTCTAGAGGCCCCAGTCAGGTCTATGTTCACAGGCTCATGGGTTTAACCAATAAACACCTGATTCTCACTTCAGCTCTGTTGGGTATCACAAATGCAGAAAGGCACCTATACTGACCACAGGTGGCCACTGTCTTGCTTCCTAGAAGAGACCTGTTTCACTGGCAAATGGACAAAGCACACCCGGCACTTGGAATTTTCCTCCTGTTGAAGCACGGGAGAAAGGTTTTGCAATGCTGAAGAGACAGAGAGAGAGAGAACAAGCTGGACTCAAGTTCAGCTCTAGCCCTGTAAGGATGTAAACTGTATCCATGGTCACTTGGGGAAAATGCATGAGGAGGAGCAAGAAAGGAATCTTGGATTCTCCCCTTCCCTTAGGGCTTCCTTTCTTCTCAGGTTGCTTCTCACAGTAAGCTCAACACCTATGTGCAGAACAAGATWCCTCCTCTCTGTAAGACCATCTGTCCCACATCCAAAGAAACTCTCTTCAAGAAAAATCCGTTAGGCCATCAAGAGACATCTTCATTCCTGTTGAGATGGAATTACAAAACACTTGTGTAGGCCTACTGTATAGAGAATGTCATCAACTTCATTTTACCAGCCTTAAGAGAGACTGCAGCCCTGTGTCTGAGCTTACATTCCCATCAGCTCCCACCATGCAGGTTACAGCTGTGCTCAGAGCCTGTCAGCAAAATGCCTTGCTGAGAGTCCAGTTACATGAACACAAGGGGTGCTGGCCTGTCTGCTACCAGCAATGATTCACAAACCTCTGTCCATCAAAGATGATGCCTTTTTCTCCTGGGGTAGCTGGCCAGTCTTTCTCTTTTGCAAAATTCTTTAGAACCAATTCTTTTCTCAGACATGCTGTGCATGTTCAAGCTGTACTCAGCCAACCTTGTGGCTACCAGTAAGACTGCCCTGCTCATATCCCTATCACAGCCTGTACAGTCGTGATATCCTGAGAAAACTGGCCTCCAAAAACTGGTTTTTGGAAAGACTGACCAATTTTGGCAAAGAATAGAAAAGGCCTCACCAAGCTGTCAGGGTTCTTTGGAGATTATCTGGTCCGAATCCCTGCTTAACCAGGGTAAACCAAAGCACTAAAATGGACTTCACCATGTCCAACGGGATTTTGAATATCACCAAGGGTGGAACGCATTTTCAACCCTCTACTTCAATCCTGCTGCTGACTTCATTCTCCTGCTCTGGGTCTGGGTTCACTCTTCTTCCATGCTACTCTAGTGTCTTCTTTGTCCACCTCATTGCAGCCTCCTTCCTCATTCTGATTGTACTGGCCCAGTGCTCCAGCTTAATATTGCTGTCATGTAGTTAATAAGGCAGAGACTGCGTGAAGGCTGGTGGAATACTGGCCACAGTATTAGGGATGCTGAAGCCTCACTGGAGCATCTCACACAGCACCCAGTAATGTGCTCATTCATCACCAGACTCAGGAGGCTGCCAGCAAGACCTGAGCAAGAACACAGTGCACAGCCTCATTTCTGCCTCTGCCTCATTCTTTTTTAAATAACAAGAGGGAGGGCATGGGAAGAGAGAAAACACAACAGCAGCAGTATCAAAAAACACTCTGTTCCTATCAGCTGGCTGCAAACATCACAGAAGATGAAGAGGTGGGAGCATATTTGCAGAACGGGTCTGCCAGAAAAGCCTCACAAAAGGCAAAAGCAGCCTCACGTGGCATGTATGCATTCACAAACAGTGTGCAGCCTGTCTGCTTCCCCTGGCCAATTRCGAGCACCATGGAGTATTAGCAGCTAGGCGAGAGCACACACATAGACTCAAATATTTACAGCAGTCATCAAGCCATCAAGCTTCCAAAGCAGGTCTCCTAATTCTTCACCATTACATCATATTGGTAGGTCTTGTCTACTCAGCCTCCCTGTCCTATCATCTCAGCAGCCTCTTGGGCCATCAAGAGTGCTTCTCACCATGTGGCCAGCATAGAAAGTTCCTCATTCAGGAATTGAGAACCTCCAAGAGCAGAAGCAGGATGCCAAACTACTTCTGTCCCTCTGCTGCCTTCACACCTGGGACACAACCACAGCAGAGAGGTCCAGGGTATAACAGCACCATAGCTAGGTTTTCTGTCTGCACATATTGTCAAAGGTTTCACACACAGGGGAGGAAAGAACACTGTTTTCAGGCAGAGTTATATTTAAGCTAGGCATATACCTGCTAACTCATATAATAAAGACAAAGTATATTAACAGTGCTGCCGTCAGTGGTTAATGTGGTTAATGACAAACCTGCAGGTGGTTGGACCTGGTGTGACCTGCACAGTCTGGTCTCCCAACCAACTTCATGTTAACCAGCTGCATGCTTGTGTGAGGGACAAAGTGAAATCAGAAAGAAAAACTGTTCCAGCACTCAGCCTTGGACATTTGTAATGATCATCAGAGAGCAAAATCAGCATTGAAATTGGGCAGAATCCCCCACGATCCTCATAAATCTGATCAGAGCAATTAAATCATTTGATGAGCATCCTGCTTCCCAGCACTGCTACCCACTATTGCCATTCTCTCTCCTATTCATCCCACGTCTTCAACAGCTTCTTCTCTCTGAATTCCTTCTACACTCAGTCGCTCTCTCCCCTCCCTTTTTTTTTTTTTTACCTCATTCAGATTCTCTGACTGCTCCTTCGTACAGCACAGATGAGAAGGGGGCCAGCTGCCTCACACAGATGCCATTCGTGATCATCAGCTAACTGCCCATGCAGGGCACTGGGAAAACTCCCATCTCCCATCACACAACCCTCTGAGCAGCAGAAGAAATGAGAGGAGCTAGACATGTAACAGCAGCTGGACTGACACAGCAGCCTGGCACACAGATGCTCTGCTCTTCTTTGTAGAGCTCCAGAGGGGAACTTACWAGACAAATGCAGGTGAGGTTGTTAAGCTGAGCTCTCCTCCACACCTCTCCTCTCCGATTTGTATCACACAGCCTTCGTACTTGCTCTGCTGCAGTGATCCAGCCACTGCTGAAGTTGCTAGCGGTAGCAACTGGGTGCTCTTGAACCCATTGCCTTGGACAACACATCAGCATAGGGACCAGAGCTGTGAGGGGCTTGGCAGAGCTAGAGGTCTCTCAAAAAGATCTGGAAAGAGAACTGGTCAATAACAGGGAGAAAATATTCACCAACATCCTGTGTAGCTGCAGGGATGCATTTTTCAAGCAATTAAGGAGCTCTCTATAACTCAGAGCTCTGGCAGCAGTAGGTGCGGGAGTGTCTGTCTCTCTCATGTGTCAAGGAGCACACACAGTGTCAGTTTGGTGGCCTGTTTCTCTACAGGCACAGATAAACTCTGGTTTGGACATTCCAAGGGCTAGATGAAGGCAACCATGGCAGAAGGGCACTTTGTCAGGCAATACTAAACAGGATGAGGAGGAGCTTCTCCTGTTTATCGCTTCCCAGACTGTTTGTCAGGAAGTCTGGGCATATTACATTGCTCTGATACAGTTAAACATCCAAGTTCCAGACCCCCCCAGGAGGGTGTGTGGTACCCCTCTCTCCTTCACATGAATGGATATTGGGCTGGGAAACTGAGCAGAGTTGTCCCCATACAGGGTTTGTACCTGGGGTTCTCCTGGTTGCAGGTTCCCAGTGCCAGGACTGTGCTGATAACACTGCAAGCGGTTCTTGCTAAAGCTTCTCCCACCAGGGTATTAAACCTCCAGTGGCTAGTGGTGGAGAATGACTTAAAATAGCACAGACAGGGAGAAGATGTGACAAAGAAGGACCTCTCCTGAGCATGACATTTCAAAATTTTCCACACTTGTTGGAAACAAACAAAACAAAACAAAACAAAACAAACA